TTGTTTATAACTAATTTACAGCGATCCTCCTTTTCAAAGTGAACAATATATCATTGTTAATATAAAATAAACTTTTGAACATCTGACTTTTTGGTAAGCATTTGTTACCTGTTTAATRTTACAATAAAATAGAAACTTTTAACTTTTATGCAAAGTAAGTAAATTTAGCTTCAAACATAAAATTTATTTACTCACAATACTATTGTATGATGTCTTTTAATAACTATATAGACATATAGCCATAATTATATGTAAAAAAAAAAAGTAGTAATAACATTCAGCACCACAAATCCACCTAGTCAATTTTTATAAGTAGTAACAATACATAAATTTGTTCTACAGTTCATAGTTAGTAGTACAAGTTACCATTTTAAAAYAATTTTTAAATTAAGTCTAAAAAATTAACATATATTTTTTAAACAAATATGATATATTAATTACATTCTTTTATAAGCACAATATTTTAATAATGCAATTTTAAAGACAGCTTTTTTTTGTGATCATCACGTAGTTGACAGGTATGTGGTTTCAATATAATATATAAATATATGTTTTTTTAATATTATCACAGCGTTAAAACGGAAACAAATTAATCTAAATAATATACATAAGTATGTATATAACATTAACTAATTACATATATTATAATTAGATCTAACAATTATATAGAATGTAATATACATATTATTTTACATACATACAAAAATTAAATTAACTACAATGATCCAATAATTTGGGTAATATTGTTTATTATATTAAATAAGAGATCAATATATTATAAAAAACAATTTAACAGGTCAAAACTAGTGGTTACATTGCAAAAGTAATAGGGGTATAGCATATAGCAAAAACTAAATAAAACTTAAAATATTTCTGATCACTGGCATTAACAATGGAATGAAATTTAAATTTTCTTCTAGAAAAAAAATACATAAATTTATAATTTACAAACAGTAACWTTAGAATGATAGTAAATTTTAATTTTCTTAAAAGTTATAAATTATTATGAACAAAGAAATATAACAAACTACTAGGTGATCCAATATTTAATATTATTATTTCGACCATAATACAAGTATAAAAGATAAGGTATCAATAAGAACTATAATATTGTATTCAAAAGTCTACATGGTAGTTCAAAATATATCATTAGTTATTGACCATAATACAAAATAAATTAAATTTTGACCAATAACTGAATACATACAAATAAATAATATATTAATAAATGTTTTGTTTATTCTCTTGGAAGTTTAACTGGTCAATTGTATTATAAATGTCTCAAATATTTATTATTATAATTTACATTTTTATAAATAAGCTATAATTAAAAACCAATATCTTGCAGTAATTAGATTTGTAATAACTTCCATCATTAATTATGAATTATCATTTTAAAAATATCTATATTTAACTAACATAATTTTTAATAACAAATCAATGGTTTTTATAGCCTTATTTAAACATGTTTTCAATAAAGTTACTATTAGTGATTTATAAA